GTAACACTTTGCCATCTCGTCAGCCTTTTTCCACCGAGCATACTCTTCTTTCTCTTGGTCTGGTGCATTGTCAGCAGGCACAGCCGGACAAGCCTCAACAGTTGCAAATTTCTTCCCTTCAGCAGTTAACACTATATCCAAGTTCCTTTTCCAGTCAATATAATTGGGACCAAACAAGTTTGTTTTCTTTGAGAATTACGTACAACGGATTGAAAGACATTTTGAATTCCTTGGATCATGCAAACATATTCTTTACTCAGTCAAGTAGTTTTGAATTTATACATCAAATATTGATCCCATTAAACAACATTTGAATAAATTCACCAACACCTCAAAACACCGAATCCCCGCAGGCTTGAGTGTGGACGTCTACGGTTCAAACATTCGCAAGAGGAGGGATAAATCCCATTAGCTTGACATACTGACCGACAATACTCAACTAATAGTCGGTTTCATCTTTTGGCCAACGCAATTAACTTTTTAAAAGAAAAATCTTTATAAAAGAATAAAAACGACCTTGTCCTTTGGGACTATCGTAATTATTTGCACTTTAAGCGTAACCCATTAATTGGTACTAAGTTTACTACCAAAATTATACGTCCACCTTTGGGTGACCCGTACGCTTTTGAAATAGCTCACTATAACCATCCCGAAGGAGATTCGTCCTTGTGAACCGTGAAATAAAACGTCCTATGGGCTCGAATTAAATCACTTCACTGAAAAACCTATAATGGAGGCCTTGGATGTAATTTATTTCAACCCATTGCACACTTAATATAATTTTTATTATATGAGATTTTCTTAACATGTTTGTATTTGCACATAAGCAATCACGAAAAACATGCATGATTAATGAGCAATAATAAACTAGGAACTATAATCCAACTATCGTGGTCATTAATCAATCTCCAGTTACGGAGAAAACACAGTCCTGTCCTTGTCGAGTGAGTCTTCCGTTTCAGGTACTGGAACTCCTTCTTTCGCAGTGACTCCCACTGAATTGGTCGTCTTCGGGAAAGTCGCCATTGGATCATCACCATGGCATCCGTGTACGTGTTTATGCCTCGCCCCGTCAAGGTTGGTCCACGCCCGCCGGATCAACAATGAATAATATAAACAACAATTACATAATTCATCCTATGACCCACGCATGAGCCGTACATGAGTTTCTATGAAAGCAATAAACTGTGCGGTGTCCCACCGCGTGAATAATTTATTACAAACATTCACCAACCCAAAAATTCCTTGACATGTCCAAGGCTTTAAAAACAGCATACATTCAACATCAATTAAAATCCATACATACGGGACACAATAGTCGGATTCGAAACAACTGCAAAAACATATTGCAATTTCTAATCTATTATGCCGCTCGTCCGTACGCACATAATACATGTAGACAGGCAAAGTCCAAAATTTAAACTGTGCACGAGTTTGAATTAAGCCTGAGCTCTGATACCAGTTGTTGTTTTAACGAATAAATCCTAACGCAGCGGAATCTATAGTTAGGATATGGACGTTTACCTTTTAAAATTTTTGCCGACTCTGAGATGATGTAGAGTACCGTTGGTGAAGTTCGTCTGAACACCACAACCTAATGGGTAGATAGGTCTGGCCTTTAGTCGATTCTAATCGACACGTCAAACGGTTCACGGTCGCACGGTGCACAGGTCTCGGCAGTCGGGTGCAGCGGGCGTGCGCGTCGGGCGCAGACAGCGAGCAGGTGCGGGCGTT